CCCCCCCCCCCCCCCCCCACCGTCACCGCCTGGCTCCGGCCCAGCCTCCGCGGAATGGTCCCTCTCACGGCACATGTCTCCGGCACCTGACAGGCCGCCTTAATGCTGCGCTTGGAAGGCTTGGCTAGCTGCCGCTGCCGGCATTGTGCTTTCAGCCAGATTTAGGGCCATTGGGCTAACCGCGATGGGCTGGCCGATGCTCGTGCCTGCTTACGCTCTTACACAGCTGCGCTGTTACACCAACTGCTCTATACTCCCAAACCCGCGCCGTTGTCCTGGTAACGACCCCAGTGGCGTAACGCGCATCCTGCGCCATCTCCTGCCGAGGATTCATGAATGTCACCGAGTGTCACATTGCTGGTAAGTTAGCAGTGCTGCACCGGGAAGGTAAATTCGGAGCAGGAAGCGGGTGACAGCGGGGTTTCCTTAACTACGCGCCGCACGCTCTGGACAGCCTATGACTGCCGAAAGCATGTCAGCATCACCACATCAAAGTGAATCACCACCCAGACGCACCTGGCAACCCGCAGTTAAGGTGCACTTATTCTGAGGACAAAGAAACTCAATACGATTGGCTCGTTATTAATTCCTTCAGCCAATTGTACACTGCTAGACCAAATCATGGTCCGGTAAATAATTATTTGCCTAATTAATGATTACTTAACAGTTCCCAGTCTCTAAACAATCTGACCGATGAATAACTGATTGGCTTTAATTAACTTCTGTACAAGTTTCACTGTTTTATTTCATGAGCACAAATGCACCAAGCAGAATATCAAAATATATTTCACTACCTTCTGCGAAACACACTAGACTAGAGTTCTGCTCAAGTCCAGTCAAGCCAGATTAAATGGCTGGCGAGTGACCCAGTGATCACGGTGGCATAGATCAGCCTCTGAGCTCGATGTACTGACAACAACAACAATTATTATTATTATTCATAATAATAATTAATAATGAATGAAGATAAAAGCTTTAGCTTTTGCTGTGCCCATAGCAGGGAAAGCTGCTGAACAGCTGAGAATAATTCTGTTACTTTTGGGTTACAGCCAAATCAAAATCCTGAGTATACCTACTCAAAACCACAATTATCTATTCTTTAAACTTAATACATGTTTCTGTTATAGAGTTAACTCTGGCTCATTTAGTCTTTTGTTCTGTTGATCAATGAGCGCTGTCCCTGTTAATAAATCAAAACAATCAAATAACTCTGGAAATTGGCTTTATGCACTAGTGAATCAATATTTCAGTGAGAGCATGACTGTTCTGCATGCGTGCAGGTACGGAGGTGGCAGTGCCCTGGTCTGGGCTCTCTTTGCTGGGGACAGAGTCAATAATCTAATGTCCAAATCCGTGGTAATCCCAACCCACATGGCCGTCATAGCCAGCCGCAGAAGGTATTCCATCCTAGGATTACGGCTGATTGGACAGAGATTCAGGAAGATAATGACCCAAAACACACCTCAGTCTGGTATCTGGTAAAGAAGGAAAGTGAAGGACAATTCAAACTAATGACCCAGCCTGCATAGCCTCCAGACTGCAAGCCCAGAGAACTTCTATGAGATGAAGAGAAGAGCCTAAGAAAGGCAGACCACAAACAGCTACAGCAGCCTGGCGATGGCTGCAGACAAACGGGGAGAGGCATGCCAGGTTATTTCCAGGTAAAACCTTTCAGACAAATGCCTTGTTCAACATTGCAACTAGTAGCTATTTTGAGAAATCCAAGATTATATTGAATTTTACTGCTGTGGTACACTGCTTTGGTACTCCCTATGTTTTTTTTCCATTTTCATGTATTATATGATGTAAAACATGAAGGAACCTATTTTTTTACTTGTACCTTATGCACATTATAATCCTACCCCAGCCCTTGGCATAAAGTCTATTTGATGGTCTGGAGAACTCTGGGATACATCTGCAGGAACCCCCAACCCCCCCACCTCCGAGATGGTATCTGGGTGGAATGAGTCCAACAGAAACAAGAAAAATGAGAGAATGGCTGAGAGGAATCGAGGGGGAACCATTTTAGTCCAGAGGACTGTGACAGGAAGCAGCTCTTTCTGGGCGCATCTGTGTCCAGCGGTTCAACGGGGAATCGCATAACGAGAACGCAGCTGAAACTGCAGCTGAGGCCATGATGTCTGTGCAAAAGACAGAAGGCAGTGAGGGATTTCATCCCCACGCTGCCATCCGGCTCCAGTGGATTCGCGAACAAACTCACAGTGTTCTTGTTTATCACCAGTGCAGCAATGTTACCGAAAGGTGGGAGGTGGTTCTCAAAGCAAAAATCAAAGGCTGATTTTGTCCAGGTTCATCTCATTCCCAGTGGGACCTGAGCATGGTTTCCATCACGAGGCATCTGTGGATTCCTCAGTGCAGGGCATAAAAAAGATAGTGTGAGCTAAGCAGAGCCATTTGGTGCTGGTAGTCATAGGTTACTGGCAAATTAAGTGCATGAATCCTATAATAAAAACACGCAAGGTGAGCCATTAATGCGGGTTGTGCCTTTGGGGTAGGAGACCTGGGGACAGATGATTCGCGGTGAGCTTGGACGTCGCTGGGCATTGTGGGACGCCCTGGTCCCCTTGTGCGTGCTCTCAATCACCCAGCCGGCTTCATCAGCACGGGACATAAACCGAAATGAGTTCACAGGAACTTCCTGCAGCAGCCGGAATAGTTTGCTGGAGAGTTATAGCTGTGGGTAAAATTAGATGTGCTTAGAGCCCCAGGCAGAGCGAAATAAAAGAGATGCTTTTAAATGGAGTGTAGATTTCATATCCCTCAGTCAGCTCCAATAAATAAATCTTTGACAATTTGTTCGGTAAACATTGGTTACACTGTGTTTCCATTGTCTGTG